GAAAATTGGGCTTTTATTCACCACTAAATAAGAATTAGCATACATTTGCCATTATTTTTTATGTTTGTATTAGTCCTTCCATCTTAAAAAGAAAAAACACTTTATGACTACTAGGTAACTGATATCCTTAAATGCCCTATGAGTTTCAAAGTCCGATTTGACTTGGTTGATAAAGAAAAACAAAAACTTCACAATAATTTCCTAATTTTAAACCAAGAACTCTGTTTTTGAGGAAGGGATCTCAGAAGATCTAAATTAAGCAGATGAGCAGTTAAACTTAATTTACTAAGCAATTTCATTTATCTGTCCAGAGACTTAGGCATCTTCCATAAGACAACAGTGATCTGTGAGGATTATGCTCTTTGGTCCAATTTGTCTCTGTCCACATTATTTTAGTGCTGAAGTGTATTGCAAGGATTCAGAAATACCTATTTGCCACAATCCTGAAGAAATACATGGCAAATCAATACACGTTTTACAATTAATCTGCTGAATTACACTATGTGGAATACATATCTTCTTTTCCAATACAAAAGTAGCATATATGAGAGGTTTAGGCCCGGTGTTTCCAGGTCAGCGCTCATTCCTGAGTTTGACAGGATTTCTTGAACTTTTACTCCTATGGTCAGATAGCTAACTGAGCTATGCACTTCAGGTAGGGTGTGCTCAGAGCCCTACTGAATACTGCTTAACTGCAGAGAACAGGAAATGCATTTTTGTGATACTTCAGTTGCAAATGGTGAAAGGAATATGTGTATTTGGTGATGAGAGCCTCCTCACCACCAACCACATCCCCAAATGCCAGGGAAGAAAGGATCTATAAGATGGTATAAATGAAAGTTGATTTTTAAATAGATCTGCAATATCCATAACAAATAAGAATAATGTTTTACATCATATAGAGTGGTTTTAATGTATGTATTTTCTTATAAAAACAAGGAATTTTATAATGCTATGTGGCAAATACTTAATTAGACATTATTTCCTTCTCTACTGAGGCTGGATTTGCTTTTAGAAATATTAAGATATATTATAAATGTTTTATGTTTTGTGTACCATTATTATATAATTAGACTTCAAATGCTTTATTTATTATGTAATTAGACTTTGTTTTATTGGAAAACTATATTTTAATTCTTAAAATAACCCTGTGTGATGATATTAATGTGTTGCAGCTGTATTCAGTCAATTTTATATATTTATCAAGTAGTAGAAGTGACACATACTTCAGTTTCAAAGCCATTTGCATGCAGAACTAATAGTTTTATTCTGAATAAGATCATAGACAACATCAAAATATAGTTATTCAACTTACCAGCTAGGGGTTCCTAAGTACAGTATTATTCATTTTTAATTTCCTTCAATATACAAAGAGACTAGAAAACAATTTGAGAACAGAAATTTTAGGACCAGATACAGTCTGTTAATTTGTCAATGACTATTATTATGATGTAATCAAAGTTCAAATTCAAATTCTTGGAGTTAAAAAAATCTATGAAAACCTTTGATATTAGAAGTATAAACAAAATAAAATCCTACTTTTAATGCATAAACATAATACATAAAATATTGATTTATAATATTTCTAATGCTAGGCATACTTGTTCCTCCAAAAATATTCAGATATTATCAGAACATAACTAAATGAATAAATTACTTATTTTAGACTTTAATGGAACATTATTTATATAAATTTTCTATTTTTCCATATGATATATTTACCCCACCTCCAATTTTATTGCTTAAGCTCTTTTCAATTTTTAATTTTTCCTTCTTTGAAATAATAAAGTATAGACATAAAATATTATCTACTAACCTAGTTATATATTCATCTGGGGTAACATACTATATTGAAGTTTACTTGAAAGTAAAATTGAGAATTTATTATTTAATTCCTAATCAATTTATCAATGAAATGCCCAGTGAACACATTCAAATATTTTTTAATTTATTTTTATTTTTTATTAGTTACACATGACAGTACAATGATCTTGACATTTCATACATTTGAATCAAATGGGATATCATTTCTCATTTTTCTGATTCTACAGGTTGCAGAATCACATTGGTCATACAGTCACGTATATATACATAGCAATAATAATGTCTATTTTATTCTGCTGCCCTTCCTATCCCCCCTTTCCCTCCCCTCCCCTCCCATCACTTCTCTCTATCCAATCTAATGTGACATACTTCTTTTTTTTTCTCCTCACAACATCATACATGTATTCTGTATAACGTTGAGGATCTCCTTCCATCTTCCGTGCAATTCCCCTACTCCCTCCTTTTCCCTCCCACCTCTCTTCCCTATTTAGTGATAATCTTCTTTTCATGCTCTTCCTCCATATCCTATTTTGAGTCACCCGCTCCCTTATATCAGAGAAGACATTCAGCATTTGTTTTTTAGGGATTGGCTAACTTCACTTAGCATAATCTGCTCTAATGCCATCCATGTCCCTGCAAATGCCATGATCTTGTTATTTTTTAGTGCTGAGTAATATTCCATTGTGTATAAATGCCACATTTTTTCCATTCATCTATTGAAGGGCATCTAGGTTGGTTCCACAGTCTAGCTATTATGAATTGTGCTGCTATAAACATTGATGTGGCTGTGTCCCTGGAGTATGCCATTTTTAGGTCCTTTGTGTATAGTCCAAGAAGAGGAATAGCTGGGTCAAATGTTGGTTCCATTCCCAGCTTTCCAAGGACTCTCCATACTCCTTTCCAAATTGGCTGTACCAATTTGCAGTCCCACCAGCAGTGTATGAGTGTACCTTTATCCCTACATCCTCACCAGCACTTGTTGTTGTTTGACTTCATAATGGCTGCCATTCTTACTGGAGTGAGATAGTATCTTAGAGTAGTTTTAATTTGCATTTCTCTGATTGCTAGAGATGGTGAGCATTTTTTCTTGTATTTGTTGATTGGTTGTATATCCTCTTCTGAGAAGTGTCTGTTCGGGTCCTTGGCCCATTTGTTGACTGGGTTATTTGAATTTTTTGTTGTTTAACTTTTTGAGTTCTTTGTATATTCTAGAGATTAGAGCTCTATCTGAAGTGTGAAGGTTAAAAATTTGTTCCCAGGATGTAAGCTCCCTATTTACCTCACATATTATTTCTCTTGCTGAGAAAAAAAACTTTTTAGTTTCAAATCTTTATGTCACTTTTTAGTTGCTCAACAGCTTGAAATCTATAGTAGATATGAATTACAATATGAATTATTACCTAAAAATATGTAGAATTAGAAATAGTATATCCAATGTAGTTATAATATTGAATTTATTTGTGATATATAATTTAAACTACCATAAAAGTCAATCAATTCCTCAAGTAAAATGTGCTGCAATACTATAGAGCCACTTTTATTTATTACAAATAATAAAACTAGCACTAATCAGATTCAAATCAATTCACCTGCACATTTTTTTGTGTGTGTGTCTGTGAAACAGTGTTTAAGAAATGTAAAATGAGCTAAAAAATGAAAGGCTCCTTGCTTCATGATCAAAAGCAGTCAGCTTTAAACTTCGACCAGCCAGGAAGATGATAAGTTTGTCATTTTTCAATTGTGTTCTTAGTAAGAAGTTGTCAGGAATGTTTGACATCTCTTAAATTTGCATCTCATTTGTCCCTGTTTATGAACCTTACATTGATACGTTAAAATGCAGGACAGCCAAGGTGCCATTTTAAAAATATACATATTACACTATTTGCAAATACCATGCCTGGTGTGGAAAGATTTTCAGTTTCAAAAGAAAAGAAAGTGTACTCTCTTTTCTTCATACTTCTGTTTCTCTCTCCTGTGTGTGATGACATTCAATTAACTTGGAACAATAAGGGACATTAATTAACTGGCCTAATGTAAGAGACATCAGGGCTCCTATATTAGATTGAATAAACATGGATGAATATAATATTACTACAGCTAAATAAATACAAAAACCAGAAATCATTTTTCTCATATATTAAAGAATGGTAATATTTCAATGAAAAAAATATACTTAGTAGTTTTACAAAACTTCAATCAAAGATAGTTCACTTTTGAATTCATCTGACCTAGTCATTTCTATTATAATCCTGTTTTGATCTTCAACATCAAGCAGCAAGGCTCTAGTTACATACATCATTTTCTTCAAATGTTTGTTTTATTGTATTCCCATTGGAGAATAATATTTTTTAATATTGATGTTAGCTCCATATTCCCAAGCTGATTGTATGAGATATTATAAGAAATCAGAGAATTTTTACTAATAGGTGAGTTCCCATTAAACATAATTCTCAAGTGACTTGTTAGAGTTTATTTGTCAAATAATTCAGGGTATAAAAGTAGCACATATACATTATTTGAACCACCATTAAGCAGTATGATTGTTTGGTTTTGGTTGATAGAGGACATAAAGCTTCGTACCCTGTGGTGGAAAACAATTAGGTCCTCTGATGCACATGCTGTTAAATATACTAGTACCAGACTTATATCAGTTTCACTTTCCAAAATAGCAATCAGTTCTTCCCAGTCTCAGGAAGCTGTATTTTCACTATGTGTCTTAGCTGCTTATGAATATTGTCCTGAGCCTCATGCCTTATGCTAACTGTCATGACTAATGATTGGCATTATCTTTATTCAGTCTCATCAAAAACTTCCTCAGGAAAGATTTATTGTATCTAGAATGCTATTTAAACTATTTTCAAAAAACACAGAATATTAAAAGTATTTAAATACAAAAGGCGCGATGGATAATTTATTTTGTTTTGAATATGTCTGACAAGTGCTACTATTGTTAAATTTGCCATGAAGTGGTTTGACATTTAGAGATGACTATATGTGTGACTGCATAATGCTTTAAACTTGTTCTGCTCATCTGAGGTTATAAGTGAAGATGTATGACAGAAAACTCAAAAGCTGGAATAAATCTAACACTGGTTATTTGGGGGTTTAATATTTTTTAACAGCGAGTTGAGTCACTTCATCCATTTGTGATTTCATTTATGAACTCTGCTTACAAGACAGGTATAGAAAACTTCATTAGGAGCCTAAACAGAAATGCTTAAGTGGATGAAGCAGCTCTTTGCATCAGATGGAAGCTAAGCGGGATATTAAATTAATGTCAAACAAGTGAGAAACTCTTTTGCTTTTCTTTTACATTGTAGCAATTTAGCAGTAATGTACTGATTCTCATATATACATGATTCTTGTGTCTAATGTCACCAGAATTTAAGGCCATAAAGGAAATCCCAAACAAAAATCAACCAATAAGGAAATATATTTTGCTGAAAGAATGGGGTAAATGTCCAAACTATTTCTGATGATAAGAAGAGTGAGGACCAAAAGTTCATGGGAAGAAGAAAGATCAAGCACCATGCATGATGTATCTTTATAGAGCCTTTACAGAGCTATTGTAGTCATCTTTCCACGTTTTGCCTTTTGTAATAGAGGAGAGTTCAGTTTTGTAGAAGAGGGCTGGTATATTTGGGGCATCCAATAAATGTTTGTGAAACAACCAGAGCTGAAATGGAACACAGTGGAGCAGAACATGGTACCACAGAACCATGAATATTCATTCCCTCCTGAAATTCTAATTTGTTTTGCAACAAAAGAAGATATAAATGTATAGCTAAACAGATGGTCAGTGACGTTGATGATTCAAAGGGGATGTTTCTATTTTCTTCTTTCTGTGCCCTTGTATTAAAAAATAACATCTAAAGAATACAGGTAAGGGGGTATATATTTGTTTAATGAGACAAGAAATTGTGTAAGATATTTCAGAAAATTTTTCCTAAAGTCCTTAAATTTTTCTGAACATTAAATTGCAATTCCCAGGATCAAACCTTCAGAAAAAACTTAGGAAAGATTTGAGATAAGTGAAAATAGGTTATAAATAATGTAAAAACAATATCCCTTCTTCTATTTTATGTCTGAGAAGTTTGGAAGAAGTCAGCACCTTACTTTTGTGCTCACCTTGAGTCTGACCCAGATTTAACATCTTTCCAGACTCTTTCCAAGGAGGATTATTCTGTACAATATTGTACTTTGTTAGGATATTCTATTAATATCAGAAGATGAGACTGTGGCTTTTTAGTCTTCTAAAAGACTGCTTAATTTCAGTGTTATTTTCCTTCTTTAGCTTTTATATCTTTTAGAAACTAATACCAAAATTCCACAAGTTTTGTAAGTTTCCGTTAAATAAAAGCACATCAAATCACTTTGAAATGCATAAAGCACTATGTAAATGAAAGGTACAATAATTATGTTAAAGGCATCATCTTGGATTTTGTTTATACTGCATCTTTCAAATGAGCATCAGATTTTTCTCTAGGCAGTTACCGCTCCTACAGAAACAAACACAGATGGTGCCCAAACTTCCTACTGAATAGTTTTAGGCAATAGCATTTATCAAAATACCACAGGTCACTAAGTGTATAAAGACTCAAAGCAAACCCCACATCTCAGTGTCAGTCCAGCATAGTAATTTAGGCAAATAAGCCTTTGTTTGATAATTCGAGAATTTTCTGATGTGTAAAATACACTAGCACAACAAACAGAGAATCTGAGGTGGAAGCTGTCTCCCAAAATAGAATATTAACATGCAATGTCTTTTAGAGTAAAATAGATTCAGTTTTTCTCCTCTGATGTACATTTCTAGCTGAAGTAAAACCCAATTGTTAGGTTGTGCATGCAGGTATCCACATTTGCCACGGGGAGATATGTCTTAAAGATATTTTTCTTATATTCAAACCTCAGAACCCAGTCTTTGGGGTATAATCATCCATTCTTGAGTGAGATAATTCTGTGATTTCTTTAACTCAGCTCTCTTGATTGACTTTTGCACTATTTTAAATCTGTTCGCCCTTGAATTAGTTACTTGCCCTTCTTCCGACTCAGTGAAGAGTAGGGGATCTGACCCCTGACTTAGAGAGCTCTCAGCTGGTGCTGCTGACTTCTCCCAGTCTTTGGCATAAGGATACTGGCAGACACTAGAGATTAAGAAGGAAGAAGCCTGGGCATTTTCTCCTGACAACCATTTTGTCTCCTTCTCTTTCTGGGGCAGCAATCACTTTTCTTCTCTGCTCCATCCCCAGCTTGCCCACCAGGTATTAAGGCTCCTGGATTGCTGTAGTGTATCTCTTCTATGTTTCTTTAATCCAGGGTTGGGATACTCTTGTTACCAATTTCTGAATTGTCTTACTTTTTTTTTTTCTGGTTTTCATCTTCTCTTCAATTACCTTTTTTCCTATTTTTGCCATTTTCCTTTCATTCAAATATCCCAAGTGAATCCTGTTTTCCTAATTGGGCCCGGCAATCCAGCCGACACAAGCCACCTGCTCATACTGAATTCTTGGACAAATAACGCTGTGAGAAAGGCAGTTCTGTTACTCATCATAATGATCTGAGAGACCCTTCTGGAACATGAGCTCTTACAATCACTGTTCTCTTTGCAGCTCTTCTCCTTTAGTTAAATGATGACTGTACCTTGAGCCTGCTCTGTGCCATGTCCCTGAGATAGAGACAGAAAGTATTTTTCTTTGTTTCTGCTAACATTAGTGTCAGAAGACACTCAAGCATTACACTTGATTATTAACCTAGCCTGTCTCTCCTCTTCAAGGTGCATTCCTCAAATGCACTGCAGGGAGCTGACTTACAGGTGGTTGGTCTGTTAAATATTAGTGCCTTACTGGTAAGTCACAAGGAATGACAAGGTCTCCAGATCTATTTCCACATTCATGAATAATAGGACTGGAATATGATATGTTAGCTACCATTCCAGAATTCTATTCCTTATGAGTTATTCTCAAGGAAAGAAAACACAAAACAACTCCATATCTTCAAAGTTCAAATTAGTTTTATAAACCTATTCTTAATCCAGAAGTGTCAAACTAGAGTTGTCTCACGCACTTGCTAAACCTATTTTGGATTTTAATATTGAAACATACATTGATGCTGAGTTTCTACAAATAATGTTTTGTGAAATCTTCCATATTTTTTTTCTATTCATGCTATTCTGTTGCAGTGCTCCTCTTCCTAAAATGATATTTTCATTTTCTTCAGTTATATTATTAATTCTTGGCCAAAACCCATCTTTCCAGAAGTGCTCTCTGAATTTTCCCACTCCTGGTTCAGAATGGGTTGCTTAGTGTCCTCTTGTTTTGGGTCTCCATCATGTGTTATGTGAAATAACATGTTTACCTCTCTGTTTTCTGTTGGACTTGATGCTCCATAATGAAATGATGTTCAAATCAGCTTTTGCAACACTGTGACTAAAAAGCCCCTGACCAGAAAAAATGTAGAGGAGGAAAAGTTTATTTGAGGGCTCATGGTTTCAGAGATCTTAGTCCATAGAATGCTGGCTCCATTTCCTTGGGGATCAAGGTGAGGCTGAACATCATGGAAGAAGAGTGTGGCAGAGGGAAACAGCTTCCATGGTGATCAGGAAGCAGAAAGAGAGAGACTCCACTCTTGAGATACAAAATATATACCCCATAGCCACGCCCCTATTCCCACCTTCTTCAGCCACATCCCACCACTAGTTAATCCCTATCAGGGGACTAAGTCTCTTACAACTCAATCATTTCTCCTCTGAACCTTCTTTTATGTGAGCTTTTGGGGGACACTTCACATCCAAACCTTAACAAAGGACTGTGTTTCATCTTTGTACTTCTAGTATCTATTTTAAAAACTGTTTCTGAACAATGCTCTGAAAATTCTGGGGCCTCCTATGCTGGGCAAAATTTAGGTTTAAAACCTAAAAGCATTAGGTTTTTGAAAAGGAAAGTTTATTTATTTTAAAATTTTTTTTAGTACTAGGAACATTTTACTAACAAAATAGTTATTAAAAACAAATCTAGTGTTTGTGTCTTGCTTTTAAAAGTTCATATAGCATTGCTGAACAACATGGATACATAAGGGAAACAGGCACAAAAGAGGAACAGTAGCACTTTGGCAAATTTAGGATAAAACCCAGATCTTTACCTTGCTTTTTGTTCTTTTTCACCAGAAGTTGCATCCTTTTCCTGAGTTTGTCTTCCTCAATTTAAGCCTTTATTTTTCGTGTCCATCTGAATACATTCTCACTGCCTCCACCATCAATTAAGTAAATGTCATGTCTCTAACTCATTTCCTTTAAAAAGGATGAGCTCAGCCGTGCTCTGTTTATCCCATTTATAATGGCTCTCTGTGCACTTGGTCCATTGCCTCCGGTGTCGTTTCTCATGCATCTGTTTATTCTACCCAATTAGACGCAGAGCTCTGCGGTCAGAGGTACTTTTTCTTTTATATCTCCTCACAGCATGTTCACAGCATAGGCTTGTGAGCTAATGTCTTCTACTACGTTTCACCAATATCTATGCTGGTATTTTTAGCTTCTTGTTAAGTGAGCACAATTGTGGGCTCACCCTGCAACTGGGTCCACAGGCAGTAGATCATCTACACAGGACACAGACCTGGCTGGTTTCTTTATTCTAGACCAGAGACACTGTAGGCCAGGAACACAGGAACGTCAAGACCCCATCCCACTTTTTTTTTTTTTAAAGCAAGAAATATTCCTAAACTACCTCTCCCTGGGAACCACCATTTTCCTTCTAAGTTTTCATCATTGATCATTGGTTTTCTGTCAGAGAATCTGTTCATTTTCTTCATAGCACTTATAATTACATACTTATTGAAGTGTGTATAGAATAAGCACATAAAGTAAATAGAGAGAAAATTTTTATATAAATATGCAAAATACATAGTAGATGTAAACTAAGTAACATATGAAAGACACCGATATGTATGAGTATATGTATGTGTCTACGTTATGTTTTGATTTTCTCTTTCCCTCTGCAGCTTTGCTTTACTTCAGCTCCCTTCACCTCTAAACACCAATCCTAACACCACCAATCCTGGCATAGAATAGGTACTCATAAATATTTATTGAATAAAGAATAGGTGAATGAGTGAATCAATGAAAGCAAAGAATTCTTAATAGTCATTAAGTATATCACATCTTAAATTTCCCTCAACAAAAATCAGACAGAAAAAAGAGAAGTAGGAGCACAGAAGTAAAAGGAGTCCATTTTCTTTTGTCTACTCCAAAAATGTAGAATCTGTCTCCTTGCAGAAAGAGGCCTCCAGATTTCTCAGTTTGTTTTTACTTTGGAGAAGAGAAAGTGAAAGACAAGAAGTCTCTGCTGTTCACGATGGGTGTTGTCTACTATAATAAAGACAATAAATATTATAGTGAAAGAGTTAATGATTTCCAAACATTGTAGCAAAAAAGCCAATTGGTTGTTTCTACACTTACTGCTACAACCTATTTCTTCTCTACTGGTAAATCCTGATACCTTTAGAATATACTGATAGCATATGGACTTCTTTCTCCTGAATAAGAAACCCTGGTGAGAGGAAAGAGAAGGACATAGTTACAGGAGTGAGCATTAGAGTGTGGGATGACCCCAACTGTCTGGTTGCAATTCCTGGCCCCAGTGCTTTCTATCTGTGAGACCGTAGGTGAGTCAGGTCACCACACTTTGCTTCGGTTTCCTCACTTGTAAAATGGAGATCGTAAGACCTAACCCATCTGCGTTCTTCTAATTATTAAATAAGTTAGAACATGTATAAGGCCCTCATAATAATGATTAGCACAAAGATAATAATTAATATTCATCAGTCATATTCTTATTCTTGATATGATTATTTTTGTCACCATCTCCAAATTAATACAGATTTACTGCTAATAGAGAATAGATAAATTCCCACTAAGTCTAAGCAAGGAAAAAGAAAGCAGAGGATTAATGCAAACATAAGTAATAGTAAGAATGAGATGGGGATATAGCCGTGGATGCCTTAGAAATGTAAAAAGGTATGGTATAACTTCAGGATTCTCAGATATTATTATGTCCTCTTGATTAAGAATTTTCTTCCCTTAATTCTTACCCTTAAGAGAAAATGTTTCTTCAAATGTCATCTGAGTACCTAATGAATACTACTTTTGTATCATCCTCTTCTAAAAAATTTGGAGAACTTTGTTAATATCTGCCACAGTCTTGGCTGGGCACAAGA